ATGTTTTCAATTAACTTAGGGAAATAATAATATGCCTGAAAGTTATAACTAACTTGCCTTCATAATCACCGCTTTGATATTTGCAAATGGGAAAACTGGATGGACAAACACATGCTTGGAGTCTTTGGAGGAAAATGCATGTATTAAATATGTATTAAATATTTTTATTCTTTCTGATGGTTGTAGCTTTAGAACAGGCTTGAAAATGAGCAGTTATGTCAGGATAGAAACTGCACTCCAGGATTTGACTCTCACTATTGAGATAATGGTCTTTTTCTCAAAATTAGAAATCCTTAAATTTGAAACAGGTTTTTGAACATCACAATGGGCATATCTTCAGTGAAACCGTGGTTGCATTTAATGGTGTGTATTTATTATTTGTTAATTGTCCTGTGCATATTCACTCAAGAGCAAAAGACTGAGGGTCAAATTTAAACCATTATTTTTTTCACAGATTATTGAGGACAATCCATTAGGCTCTCTGTGTCGTGGAATACTGGTGCTCAATATGTACAATGTTGGTATGTATTTTCTGTTGCTTATACATAGACAGCAGAGCCTTTTCTGTTGAATAGTGCTCTTTTCTATTTAGCAGGAAACCTTGTGGAACTGATTTATATTAATATATAAATATACATGGAATATGTGAAACTTAATAATACTAAGTATTATTACAATAACGAGAGCTTTAAAGTTAGTTGTTGTGATAGATTAGCAGCACTGACAGCATACTGCGAAATGAAGAACTGCTGTATTTTAGTATAAACCTCTTGCTACTGTGTTGCCTAACAGTAAAAATGCCACAAGGGAAACACCAAAAGCCTTTTGTCTTCATTCTGGAACCCAAGAATCCAGAAGATCCAGCTGTTGAGTTTGCAACTGATAAAGTAGAAGAACTATTTGAGTGGTACCAAGGTATTCGTGAGATTACATGGAAAACTGCGGAAGAGGTATCGATAAAAATGTATCTCATGCCTGTTTTTCATAATGTAGTGCTATAAATTTAGAATAGAATCATCATTAGCTGATATACCTTTGAATCTTGCTAAAGCCTGATCCTAGACCCTCTTGCGTGGCTGCTAATCTGTTCATTTTATTGATACGGTGAATCTCGTTCCCTGCGTTTTTGGGGAATGCTATGTGAGTTAGCAGAGCACTAGTCATCAGAAAGTTCTGGTTTTATGTTAACAGGAGTTTGTCAGCAGACAGCACAGCTGTCTGTGTTGCATTCTGCACCTCTGAGGAGAAGTGTATGTAGTAGTACAAAGTAGATACCATTACACCTGATTTCACTGGTACAATCCTAGTATTAAGCAGAAGAAACTCAGATCTCAGCAGTGCCCAGAGTTGTGAATCCACTAGTGAGTATATGTGAAATCTGAGCTGCCTTTAACCTGCTACTCTTGCTCTGAAGTATGAATTTATCTTTCAGTTGTATTTTCTAGTATTTAAAGTCACTATCAGAAAGACTTTATGATAACTATATTTAAGTATACACTTTCTTTTGTACTTTTATTAACCAGGTCATGTGAATGATGCAGAATGTGTTTTAGTATCGTCTTGACTCATACTGTTCATCCTTCATCTGGAGCGATAATGCTTTGAACGATTCATCAGAATCATATTTTTAGCAAACAAGTTGGTGTCATGAGCAGAGAACTATAAATTCAGCAAGGCTAGAAGCAACAGGAGCTGTTGACATTGTTGGGGAAGGACAGAGCTGGTTCTAATGCCAGGTTTCCATTTTTAAATAAAAATGAGAAAAAGAGAAACATGACCTAGAAGAATTGTCTCTAAATGGAATGTTTCTCATGACATATCAATGGCTCTTCAGGAGCTTGGCAGCTTTTTCTCCCTCTGTGCTAACTAGAAGAGCATTAAATAGTCTGTGTTCGAAGATGCTCTAAAACTCATTTCTGTCAGTCAGCAGGGCTTTCTCTCAGTGTGGTGTCTTGAAAGTTCATACCCTAGACCGCTGCATGGGGAAGGGAAGAAGAAAAGGAAAAGCCTTTTTTTGACAGTACAGTTAACAGTGTGTATTTTGGGGAGGCAAAAAGCATACACAATGCTACAAAATCAACACAATGCTACCATGTGATAAAGGCGTTTTATCAGTTTACTTTTGTGTGTGTCCATTGTACACTAAAAATAAAACTATCTATGGGGCTTGGCGTCTCATTTTAATGCTAACGCTTGCCATGCTCCCAGGGACAGTTTACATTGCTGGCTCTCTGTGACTATCACTAGACTTATGTCTAAAGATGGGCTCACAGCATCTGGAAATGTCTTTGTGAGGGAGAGCACTGCTTCCTGTTGAGCAATGTGTGGGAAACGGTGGTGGAGCGCTAAGTATGATGGAGTTCACGCTTGCAATTTTTTTTCCAAGGCTATTTCAAGTCTTAATGCTGCATTCCTCTTTGCTTTCCTTATACTTCAATGTGTATCTTTTTCAGTGACTGCTTCTGGAAACGTATGGCTCCCCAGGCTCTGCTTTTTTTTTCTCTTCAATTCATCCTGTTGAGCGAATTCTTTTGGAAGGCTTCTTAATTACTACTGTTTTATAAGCTGTTGTACCAAAGCTGTATGTGACTCTTCTGACATGTTCTATTCTGCAATCGCTTCTTGCATCTGAAAAGCCTCCTGCCAAAAATATCTTCACTCGATACAAGTGTCACTTTTGCTCAGCTTCCATTGCAGGTACTTGTAAATATGGAGATAGATGGTGGCTTATTACTGATGATGACTATATGATTTCACATACTGATTACACATACTGCCACACTAATATTGCTGGTTTGCTGTGCAAATATGGAACTACTGGAACACAAAAACTCATAGCATTTGAATTTAGTCTTTTGGGAGTTACTAGGAAGACTGATCAAGTCCTGATCAAAACTGTAAATAAATAAACTAAACTCCCGCTGCCCCAAGCCTTAACAGTGTAGAGTCAAGAACTTAACTAAAACAGGATAGAATTATTTCCCCCAAAATAACTTTATTGCCAGGCTCCTGGGTACGGCAGGTTCCAGGAAGCACTCAAATAGTTGCTTAACAAACAAATAAAACCCTTGGATGGTCTATTCTCTGAATTGGATTTTGAAATGTATCACATATTTGCAAGTGTTTAAAGTTTCAAATAGGAATCAGGACAAGAACGAAAGTATTAGTCATTTCCTTAGAGTAGACACTGATGTTATGGTACCGTTATACTTACTGTATCTACAATGTTAAACTTTGTTAAATTTTACAGGAGAACAGGAGGAAGTACTGGGAAAAGAATCAATTAATCGCTATTGAACTATCTGATTTGGTAAACTACTGCAAGCCAACAAGCAAAACCAAGGACAATTTAGGTGATCTTCTTTAACATTACATCTAAATTCTACCTTCTTATCTCTATAGATGTTAGTTCATTTGTTGAGTTGTCAGTTAGCTCATTTTTAATGAGCTGTCAGTGTGGTTGAGCCAGTGCAATTAGAGCAATTTTTAGAGGCATTGGCTAACCCTGACTCACCTTTTTTTCTCCCCTTTTACACCCAGAAAAAGATGTCTCATTTAAATGTGTTGTAGTGGTCAGAAGAGCTTTTAGCAATGATGAGATGAAAACATGACTACAGACTTGATCTGCCTTCCTGCCATGAGTGGGGGAAGGGACCAGACAGGCAGGCGATTTTAACTTTCAGATTTGATATTCAACCAATTTGCTACGTCTGCTTTAAACATTGTTTAACTTTTTGCTTTGATATAAAAATTGAGAAAGTATTAGTGGAAATATAATATACACTGTGACTTCTTTTTTGCTTAATAACCACCTTTTTTTTTTCTCCTTACCCTGTGTAGAAAATCCTGATTTCAAAGAAATCCGTTCTTTTGTGGAAACCAAGGCAGAAAGCATTGTTAAGCAAAAACCTGTTGAGTTGTTGAAATACAACCAAAAGGGATTGACACGTGTCTACCCTAAAGGACAGAGAGTTGACTCATCTAACTATGACCCGTTTCGCCTCTGGCTTTGTGGTTCCCAGATGGTGGCTCTGAACTTCCAAACTCCAGGTAATATTCCCTCAAAGAGGAATTTAGTCCCTGCTTCATTTTACTGCTAATGAGCCCCTTTCTGGCCCCTCTGCCATTCCAGTCACTGTGGCTCCTATTTGTTCCTCCCAGCAAGAGGAAAGGTGAAAAAACTAAAGTTTATTTGTGAATGTGTGTGGCTCATCTAATAGAGCAGGTTCCCAGAAAACACTTTCTGAAGGCTGTATCTGCCATCAATGCCAGGGATGTGAGTGGTAGCTGTGTTGTTAATGCAGCTGGCAGATGAAGAAGTCATCAAACATAAGCTGCAGTTTAAAAGTGCATCTGTGCTGTCTTCAGCAAAGACATTGAATAATGAAAGCTGAGGATCAGGGCCAGCACACTGTGCTTTACAAACTCACACATTTTATGCTAAATCTCCGTTTCCCAGACCACCTCAGTGGCAACTGAAAATGCATTTCAGTGGGCAGTTTATAACCTGTCTGGTGTGACAAAATTTCCCCTTAGCTCTCTGCTGGGGTCTCACCAGTTCAGTGCTCCCCGTATGACCTGTAGAGCTTCTCAGTGACAAGCTAGAGAGCTGTGGTGTCTGGAGTCAAGCAAATAATTCCCAAGCAGAGAAGAACAAACCATTTTCATCAGCTCTGGCTCCAGCTGCCTCTCTTTTTCTGGAGCAGTTATTGCAGGTTGTCCTTAACTTCCTTCAGCAGAACTGAAAAGAAAATTCAGAGAAAAATAAACAAAGCAGTTTCTGCTCCACTTTTAACTTCCCTAATTCAAGTTTTGTTCTCCTTTTGTTCTTTAGCTCTTTACGGAAGCAGCTTACAAGCTTTTCCCCTTAGTCTGCTTCATATTTTCTGTGCAGGGCTTAAAGCTATATTTGTGTATTTCTCCCATAGTTGCCCTCTATTTAAGTTTTCTATAGTTTTTTTTCTAAACAGTTCTCCTTCTTTAAAATTTCTTCTTTTCTAGCTTGTCTGTGAGACAGACAAACCTTTTAGAGGTAACGAATGGGCAAGTTTCACCTTTATCTCTTTGTGAGAAACAGGCAAAGATATTCACAGTAAGGTTCCAGGTATATGAGCAGTTCAACTGCAGAGAAAACTCTACTCAGTTTTCGTAGGAGCAAAGAACTCTGTGTTTAGGAAACCAGTTATGAATGGAGATACATTTATCAGGATTAAAACTGGTGAGAAAAGGCCTATCGTGATGAGCTATTGAGGGGAACTGAATCTTGTCCAGCTCTGAGAAAATGGTGACCAGAAGGAATGATGTGGAGGAGCCATTAGTCTTTAGATACTTTCTTTAGATTTATTTAAATGATCTGTCTGTTCTGACTGCTTTACTCTCTCCCTAGATAAATACATGCAATTGAACCATGCCTTGTTTTCGCTTAATGGACGAACTGGCTATGTTCTGCAGCCAGAGAGCATGAGAAATGAAGAATACGACCCCATGCCAAATGAATCGAGGAGGAAATTGCAGATGATTATGACAGTGAGGGTAAATCTCTTTTGTAAATTATGTTTTTTTGCAAGTTATAAATATCTATAAATCTAAAAATAAAGCTATTATTTTTCAGAGCAAAATCTGACAGATTGTCAAAACATTGGTTTTAAATGTCAGAGTATTTGAGAATAAGACTAGTTCCTGAAAGGAAACATATATCTTTATCATACTAATAAAACACATGGTATAGGACTGAAAACATGGTACTGGGATGGTTTTATATAATGAATAATAAAAATTCCAGTTCAACAACTTGAATTCCTGCTCCACCGACTTCTCATTAGAAAGGTGCTATTGGAGATTGGTTAGTGAATGATACTGGTTCAGAGATATGCAGTATGATAGATGTTTGTAATGGAAGATGGAAGCTAAGCAGAAAACAATAATAACAATATGAATGGAAGAAAAAGCTTATTTAGTACACTGTGATTTACCAGAATGTCAATCTCATTTTTCATAGGGAGGTGGGACTCATCATCATCATTTGAATCATTTGAAAATTATGCCATATTGTCTTCTAGTGCCAAATGCAAATTGAACTTGCTTCTATTCTCAGTTGCTATTCAGTAAGAGCTGTTTTTTAAAAATATGTTTTCTGAGAAGTGCTGTCAAGAAACAAACCCATTAACTGCTTTTTCACTACAGTTTAGAAAAGAGAAACAGGCTGTAAAAGAAAAGCAGGAGCTCATACAAAAAGTGTGTAGTAAGGGCTGAGGAAGGATTTCAGAACCTATGTTATGAGCCTGCTGTGAAATTGTGCATTGTGTATTAGCATTTGTGAATGAAAGTCAGCAACTGGATCTTAGTACGTGGAGCACGCTTAAACAGTGGGGATATTTTTATTGGTGGCATAGATGGTATGTTTAATACATGCAAAAACTTCTTCACAAGAGGAAATATGTGGGTATTTGTGTGTGTTCTTCTTTAGTTAAAATATTGTTTTTCTAGTGAAATTGCCTCTCAGTTCTTTGAGCTACTTTCTGTGCAGGAATAAGGGTAATGAGCTTCCTTCAGACGCGGTTATAATTACTGCTGCTCTTGCAGGTTTTAGGGGCTCGTCATCTTCCTAAGCCTGGCAGAAGTATTGCTTGTCCCTTTGTAGAGGTAGAAATTTATGGGGCTGAATACGATAATAACAAATTCAAGACAACAGTTGTGAGTGAGTATCTGCAGTTTTCTGTGTTGTGGGGATATGGTTATATGGTTGAGTATGAATTTATGTTGTCTGTAACTGGACAACAAACTATACAGGGAGAAACATGGTGACTGCTGTACTTGACTGTCTGTCATACAGTATTATTATGTTGCTTGTCTTAGGGCTGGCTAATTTGAGAAGCTTCAATGTATATCAAGTTCAGAGAAAAACAGTTATGGTTCAAAAAAGCTGCAATTCTTTAACAATTTTGGCTATATGTGAGTTTGTGTAATTTGCATATTCTTAAAAATGCTCTTTTGAAAACATCTTCAACACTGCTGGTTGTTTCTCAAGACTCTGCTTCAAATGGATTAAAATGCCATGAGATTCAGACTGTGCTGTTTAAGTGGTCTGGGATATGATCCTATGATTCTGTATACTCTGGTGAAGACAGAGTGAGAACAAAATGCTCGTTGTAGCTATTGAGAACTTCAGAGAAGAGAACTATCATTTCAGATATTTTGTGGGGAGACACAGACTTCCTGATTGTATTACACACACCAAAATACTCAGTGCTTCATAAATAAATACGAAAATTCAGCTACCGTGCATTTATCTTTCCAATATATTTCATGCTTATACACCGATATGAAGTGTGTCATGAATGAGTAATGAATTAGCTTTTTACAATTACATATCCAAGAAGGCTTTGTATATTTAAATATAAATAGTAGCTTTTCTTCATGGATTTCTATCTCTGCCATCTCGTTCCATCCACTGCCCCGCAACAAATAAACACAAATCTCTTGAAGCAAGATTTCAACATCAGAAAGAGAAATAGGATTTGAGGACCTTTATATCCCCAGAAAATTTCCTGAGATATATACCCATATATGAATTAAATTGAAATATTGCTTCATATTGAAAATGTTTCCTTTTCATTACAGATGACAATGGCCTTAATCCTGTCTGGGTACCCTGTCCAGAACAGGTGAAATTTGAAATTTATGATCCAAATCTGGCGTTTCTGCGCTTTGTTGTTTATGAGGAAGATATGTTCAGTGATCCCAATTTCCTAGCACATGCCACTTTTCCCATCAAAGGAATCAAATCAGGTAAAGATCGGTAGATAAAATAACAGGTCAAGTCAGAAAGATGCCTTTTAGCATTATTGTATTGCAGTTTCGCTCTCAGTAGTAGCTGTAGTGTGCAAGAATACAAACATGCTCCTTTGACCTGAGCGCCTTTAATCCGTTGTTTGTTACGATACTGGCTGTGTTGTGTGTAAGCATTTAAAATCCCTCTCCAAGCCTGTCCTGAAATTTCTTCATTGACTTCATTGATCTGAAGGTGGAAGGTTCCAGTAAGGGACAGCTGTTCTTTCTTTTACCACTTTGTGATCTACTTCAGACAAAACCAAGATCAGTATTTTGATATCATTGTTATCTCCTTACTTTGACTGCCATATCTTTAACTCTTTTAACCATGGATTTCATTTGAGCAAAGGGGCTCTGTAAATCTGAGTAAAATCTGGGAAGACTCTTTTTTATAATTTGATGTTTTATTAATTGCCTTAGATGTGGACTCCGAATAGTTCTCCGAATTTTCTCTGTACCTATCTTTAGTTTTCAAGCACATATGAAATGATGTGTTTCTCAGTGTTGCATTTCTACTTCCCTGCAGTCACTAGGGTGTAGTCAGCTCTCAGCAGCACCACAACTGAGCAGTGAAGAATCTTGCAGCGTTTCTGTGCCTGCAGATAATCCTCTGTCTTTACTCTGATTGTCCTTTTTACATGATTTCTTCAGGTTTTAGATCTGTCCCTCTCAAGAATGGCTATAGTGAAGATATAGAGCTGGCCTCACTTCTGGTACACTGTGAAATGCAACAAGTTCTGGTGAGAACCAGTAGTTTGTTTTGCTTAGAACATGGTATTTGTTTATGTGGATATCGGAATATGAGAATTTAGTTTTCTGTGTCTGATATATTGACATCTGACAATGTGTTCTTAGGTACCATGGAAAATCAAATTCAGTTTAAATTCAGTTGCTTTCTCTATGAGTGGACAGGTCACTCACTTGTGTGTATTTTTTTTTTTTAACAAACACTTCATTCCTTTCACTATTTTCCTGTAACAGCATGATCAGTGATTTATCCTGCAGTGTTAAAGCCCACTGGTGCCAGGCAAAGCTAAGTGAATCCATGCTTTCGCTTATTCACTTCTGAGAATAATCTTTTTTTTTTTCTTACTTTCTTTTTTTTTCCCTTGTGAGGTCTTATGTAAAAAGAATTCCCCTCAGGAAGAAAAAAATAAACTCATTGTTCCCATTTTCATTAAAAAACAGCAACAAACCAACACAAGAAAGACGCAGAAGTTCTAATCTGCTTCTTTTAAGCCTCTGTAAAACATATCAATGAGGAACTAGTATTTTTAAACATAAAAGGTAAAACTAACAATGCTTCCTTTCTCATAAAGCTAGGCATTTAAGTGGCTGATCTGTGAAGAGCGTTTGTTGATATGTCACTTTAAAGCAGGCTCATTCTCAAAGTCTCAATAATATTTTATATAATCTGACTACTCTGGCATTGAGGCTATCGGATGCGAGTTCAAAGATGCCTCTGGGAAGTCGGAATGATGTGAAATGCCCGTGTGTAATCACAGTGTCTTAGCAGCCATGGGAGCTTCCCTCTGTTGCCTGGAAAGGAGTCACAAAGGCTGGAGGTCCATGTCCTTCAAAAATAACATTTAAATCATTCAGTTTCCATAGAGATGAGCCTGATACAGGAAACTAGATAAACATATCTTTTTTTGTGTGTGTGTGTGTTGCTACCTATGAGAACTGATAATTCACCATTGCCTGACATGATGAGCATGGGTATCACTTGCAGGTGCATTGCAGATCCCTCCTGCCTCCGTTTTGCTTCAGAAATTCAGCTCGTTGTTTGCCTGGGGCAGGAGTGCCTCTCAGAGCGTTCGTAGCAGCAGTGAATCTCCCAGTCTGCCAGCAGCAAGTCCTCCTCACAGTAGCACATCTCACACTCTCCAAGTCCCTTCTGCTTATTAAAGCAGATGAAGACGCAGCACAGCTCTGTTTTTACAATGTCTGACATTCTGGGTGGTAATGCAGTAGCAAGAGAACTTCAAAGTTTTTTTGCTTTTGTTTGGCAGTCTGCAGCAAACCAAGTCTAGCCACAGTAAATCAACTTTTAAAACCTTTGCCAGATCCTTTGAGAAGCATCAGAAAAGATCAAGGCTTTATCCATCTGTTCTTCCACCCTGTTTTAAATTATGATCCTCCTTAAAATGGTATAATTTAATAAGAGGCCTGTTTATATAGAAAGTCTTCTGCATACTTTTGAAGATAAAATAGAAAATTATAAAGAGGATTACAGATAGCTGTGGAATTTCTGAAAAGCAAGAATATTATAAATGTAAGCATCAATGTGTGTGAATTATCATGTCAGGCCTTTAACAGTCCCTGTTCAAATTAACCACAGCCTTTCTGTAGTACAGAATGTAGAAATTGGAGCTCACTGAAGTTGTTGAGACATTTAGAAGCATGTTTTATTTGCTTGAAAATGGATTTTCTTGCTTTGGGAAGCATGTGTATCTTTATTTAGCATTTTCTGATTACAGTCAGCTTTGAAAGTAGGTCTGTTTTTAACCTAAAGATTGAAGTGGGCATTCTTAAGTGGGGTGTTAGCCAAGCTTTGTGGATACATTTATCTACAAGGAAAAATAATAATATTTAGGCATATTGATTGTGTGTACAACTTGGTAGTTGGCAATCTGTTTATTCCCTTTGTGATTTAGGAAAGCAAAGCTTTAAAAATATATATATTTATCCTAATCTAGCATAGAACTGAAGCTGTATTTGCAACTCCTCCAACCCACATCAGGGACTTGTAGGAAAATCTTTTGTGAGCAACAAGAAGAGTGGGGGAAGGATCTTCATTCCCAAACTGAAGCTTTTGGGCATGTTGCTAGGCCTGCCTGTTTTCCTAGGTCTGGACTGAATGCTGAAAGAGGAATGCTTATTGGTATGCCATCTCTGAAAGTGTTTAGGTTTATTATATATATTGATCGCGTGTCATTTCTTGTAGGATGAGTATCTGGTTTTGCTACTGATGTGAAAATTAAGACTTCAGTCCTGCCAATTTTCTTAGCCATTAGTGACTCTATAGAGGAAACTGCTTGTGTATCCAAAGCTTTGAAGCATTAAAAAAATATAAATCATAAAAGGAATCTTAGTGATTATTTTATGTTTGTGGATAATTTTGAGAGATTTTTTCTACAATGGGCAGTATACAAGAACAGAAATTGAGTGCTGCAAATTAATCTTCAAATAATAAGTCAATTCTTCTGCAAGTATTAAATAGCCATAGCTCTGCTGAAGTAAAGGATCTGCCCTTCCTTATTGATCAGCTGAGCACTTGCTGGTGTTAGAGGGCCCATTTGCTTGTCCATATTCTCACCTTTAATCAAGATTTCAAAAGGAAAGCACTGGAATTGGCAGTATGTGACCTAATGCGGAAATATGATGGAACCGTCAAAAATTACTTTTTTAAATATATATTTTTAAACTGTCACAATATGATGGCCCAGCATGATACATTATTTGCTGTCCTTTCCTCAACATGCAGATATACTTTACTAGGCAAAATAAAGACTCATCCAGTGTATGTCTCTAGACATACACTCTGCTCATGATTCATGCTATAATGTACCTCCCATCCCTGCTAGATGCTGTGGCTGGTAACATGGTAGGACTGAGTTTTATTTTTTTCAGTTATTTCTTAGTTGGTTACTTTGTTTACAGAAACATTTTATAATACAACATAATGTGTTCAGGAAGGAAAAAATCTTCAAAATGAAACAGAATCAGCACAATTTTGGGAAATGTGTTTTGCAAGTTATGTTGATTTCCAATATTCTTTTTGAAGGAAAGTGAAGAAGAGCTTTATTCCTCATGTCGGCAACTTCGAAAGCGCCAAGAGGAACTTAATAACCAGCTGTTCCTTTATGACACCCATCTGAATTTAAGGAATCCAAACAGAGACGCTATATTAAAAGAATTCAATGTAAATGATCACAAATTACAGATATACCAAGAGACGTGCAACCGAAGGTAGGTTGATACCTGCCACCTTATGACCAGGTGTGCAGGAGACAGGAGCTTTTCCTGAACCAGGAAGAGGTCTCGAACAGTTCTTTAATCCTTCCGTAGCCTTTGGATTATGGTGGGAGGAAAACTTTTCTTTAAATGCTTTTTTTTTTTTTTTTTTTTAATATGCTGATTGGCTGCATGAGTCATCATCACTGGCTAATTCACAATTAACTGGGGAAAGATGACACGTTGCAGATGCATTATTTGCTGTTATATCTAAAGGAACTGAGCCTGGTATACTGTTTCTCTCCTAGAAATGCCTAGTACATTCGACTTTTTTCTTTTCTTTTCTCTTAAGATTAAAGGAGAAGAAAGTCAGCAATAGCAAATTCTACTCTTAGAGCAATCGCTTTTTGAGCATGTTTTATGGAGCAATTCGGGAAGAGACACTGATTTGTCCTGGATACCCTACTCAATGAAGGTCTCAGCAGGATGAATGAATAGAAGAGGAGGAAGATGGGTTTCCTTAATAATTTCTTGTTATGAGAAAAACTGTTTTTACTTCTCATTCCTAATAATTTATATTCTGTACAAAGCACACTCTGTCCAGGCCAGATTTTCTGTGTATTCAAGGTATTTGCATCCACCATTGCAACTTTAGAATCATGAGGAAAATAACAGCAAGATGTTTAAAAGCTGAGGATGTGTGTTTGGCTGTATGTATCTGCATAAACCTCTTATCCATACCTGAAGTACAAGTATAAATCATCTACTGTATTTTTGTACACAGTTTTAAGATATTCACAACAATTTGTATGCGTGGAATCACATCACTTTAACAACCTGGCTCCTTAGGATTAACTGGTAGCGAGTTTTTAATTTATTAAATGCTATAATAGCACTTTTACACCAGCATTGTCATGTATGTTACAGTAGCCAAGGCAGCAGATTGTACCTCTGACACTGTACATAACATTTTTGGGCAGCTAAAAGCTCATACTGTATTATTTCTTGTTAAAAGTTTTCTTCTGCGTTTTTGAAAAACCAATGAATGTGTTAATTTTGTTAAACCAAATATCCTCTGAGAGTGTAGTTGTGTTTTTCCTGTTGAATGGTTTAAGATATGCGAACTCGCATTGTATTACATAAAACTTCAGGGCAGTGGAAGAAAAAGGTTTTAATATGTGTGCTAGGAGCCCTCTATTTGCTGAAAAGAGTATTTCAAACTCTGAAAAGATTTATTTTGGTATAGCATCATCTCACAAATACTTTCAGCTCCCAATGTGCTTAGAAGTGGATTTTCAACAAACTGTCCCTTTTTAATCTTGCAATCCTGTGTAGATGATAGTATCAAATGTCAGAGTTTTCCCAAAAGGTATCTAATTCAAGAACGATTCTGTGCACAAATCTGGAGGTACATCACTTTTATAGCTTTAGTCAAAAAAAGGCATTGATGGCAAATGGAAAACCTGCTGGACTAGCAAGTTTGCTTTCCTGCAAGAGCAAAACTGAAATCTTTGGATGACACGTCTGGAGTCTGATGTCCTGCTATGTGTACGCATTGGTTCCTCATGCTAGCAGTACGTCCTCAATATGAAACTCCTAGTTGCCTTTTTTCTACACGGGAGGAGTTTTGCTGCCTGCGTGTTTGACTTTGCCTTTTGAAAGGCTGCAGACAAGGTGAGTTCTTAAGCCGAAGTGACAGCCTGAGGCAAAAAATGTGTCTTTGGATGACACGTCTGGAGTCTGATGTCCTGCTATGTGTACGCATTGGTTCCTCATGCTAGCAGTACGTCCTCAATATGAAACTCCTAGTTGCCTTTTTTCTACACGGGAGGAGTTTTGCTGCCTGCGTGTTTGACTTTGCCTTTTGAAAGGCTGCAGATGAGGTGAGTTCTTAAGCCTAAGTGACACCCTGAGGCAAAAAATGCGTCCGTCCGTACGCTGCAGGGTCTGTGATCACAGGGGGACTTGTTCCCTGGTGAAGCCACCTCAGCATTTTCAGTTTCTCTGGCTCTCCACACACTTGCCCGTTTCCAGGTGCACTTAATTGATGCCGTTGTGCATTAGCAGAGGATGGTTCAGGAAACCCCCCTGAGGTTTTAGTTATTCTGAAAAGACAAGTTTTGTCTTGCTTATCTGGAGAGGAAAGTGCTGTGTTAGCGTGGCTCAAAATGGGGAGGTTTCTGTAATGTTATATTTGGAAGCAAAAAAAAACTGCACTGGCTGTTTTGTTGACTTGCAGGTGATGGGCAAGGCCACGTAGTAACATTCTGCTTTTCTTACGTTCTGTTTTAACTCCTGTTACTGGAAAAACCACTTCTGACTTCTTTATTGGGGCAGACGTCGTAACTTTTTTTCATAGCACTTGAGACTGCTTTAATATGAAAATAGATTTGAATGTGTCCTCTAATTTTATAATCTATGAAAAAAATTCCTTTTTTTTTTTGAAGTTAACTAAATTATGTTCTTGGAAACAGTTTTAAATTTGTAAAATATTTTAATATGTAATTTTTGCTAGCAGTGATGTGAACCATGTCATGTGCTTCTTTGTTTAAGCATTGCTCACTGAATCTTATAATTTAAAATCGCCAGTGATTTCAGCTACTATGAGTGAGTTCTTAACTGATGAGTGGTCTGGAACTGTTCTCCTAGAGGAGAAGGTGTTACATGTTTTAAAGATGAACTGACTTAATTATTGTTTTCATGGAAATCATTATTATTACACTTCATCTTAGTAAAAAACAGGTGTGGAAGAAGGAAAAGGGCTGAAGATCACATATAACCCAGTGATTTCAGCTACTATGAGTGAGTTCTTAACTGATGAGTGGTCTGGAACTGTTCTCCTAGAGGAGAAGGTGTTACATGTTTTAAAGATGAACTGACTTAATTATTGTTTTCATAGAAATCATTATTATTATTACACTTCATCTGGGTAAAAAACAGGCATGGAGGAAGGAAAAAGGCAGAAGATCACATATAACCCGCAACTCCTGATGTACCTTGTTCAGTAACAAGTGGCTATTAATTTCTGCTCTAGTGAGTATCAGATTTGTATCAACTTAATAAAGCCTGAACAGGGCAAAGATGAAGTTTTTAACAGTTTGGAAGAATAATAGTCTTGATGTTCACCATAAATTATACTGGTGTGTTTTCTGCCTGTGAGGTTGCCTTAATTGCATGGACAACAGTGCTGCGGACTGAATCCACACTATGCTCATGCAGTGAATTTTAACGTTTGAAATCTTGTGAACATTTTTTTCACCAATGCAACTATAATTCTCTCTGTTGTGGGCATTTTTGTTTAAAAAAAAAGTTTTATGGTTTTTAAACTAACCTTCCAGATTGCAAGATAACTGATGCTGGCTCACTATCTTTGAAATCTCCAAGCCAGCTGTGAACGAATGCAGTGTTCTGAAGTACAGTTCTTTTGCTGTCTTTCAGTGCCAGCGTTTCCACGTGCTGTCTAACTAGCTGACTTTGTTCCTGACTGAAAGTCCATTTGCTTCATTAGAAACAGAGTTTAAATATAATGAAAATCATCCTTCTGAATCAGTCAAGAGCCAAGATATTCGTTTCTTCCGTAACGGCATTTATAAACAAGCACAGTTAGTGCTTGTTAGCACTGCTGTCTTTCTGTGCCAGCGTTTCCACGTGCTGTCTAACTAGCTGACTTTGTTCCAGACTGAAAGTCCATTTGCTTCATTAGAAACAGACTTTAAATATAATGAAAATAATCCTTCTGAATCAGTCAAGAGCCAAGATTTTCGTTTCTTCTGTAATGGCATTTATCAACAAGTACAGATATTAGTTTTAGAAGAATTTAAAGCCCAGTTCTATTCATTGCTAATCTAAATTCTTACATACTGGTCCAACAAAATGGAGAATCATGAACTGACCTAAAGAAAGCAGAAGTAGCTTGCTCAACACTTGTGCATTCCTGTATTGTAATTTAGCCCCTAGATCTTGTACAGTATTTATAAACTAGAAGGGCCTAAGACCATTCTCTGTGAAGATCACAGGACAGTTCTGACTGGGTCACTTAGAAAATGACTTAGTGACTTGGATGGTAGAAAACCAGTCTATTTTATGGGTGATTGATACTTAAACCATAAAAATAAACACAACCATATATACATTTAAAGTATTAGCTGTACATATCTGGCAAATGTTATGTTTACATTGATAAGCAGCTGTCAGAATCCTTATGCTGTTCACTTTAAACATCAGTATCACTCATAGAAAGACCATTCTCTGTGAAGATCACAGGAAAGTTCTGACTGGGTCATCAGTATCACTCATAGGGAGATATATCAATTGTTGAATAATTTGAAGTAGTAAAAATTGAAGCTGAGCTGTATTTACAATTCTGTTTTTTCATTTTTTAGATGAATATTGAGTAATTTCTCTTTCAGGAAAACAAGTAATATGTTAAACTTTAGGAACAGACATAACACTTGAATTAATTGCCTTAATTTACACAGCAGCTCAAGCAATAACGTTAACAAATAAAAAAGGAGGAGAAAGAATTCATATTGTAAAAGGCCTAAAAGGGAGCCGTGGCTATCTGTGTACTTTTTCAAGCCATTTAAAAATATCTTAAGCCACACATTTCCTGTTTTCATTTTCATTACATCTCCTGTAGGCAGGACTCTGCTTTTTTTTAACTAGATGGAGCTGAATGGCAAATTATTACTGAATATACCCTTGATTTGGTCTGCGAGAGCCAGTGGCAAACTGCTGCTTATTTGTATCTCCAAATTAGCCCAAATTTAGTACTCTGTGCATGAGCAAAAGTCATGAGTGCTTAGTACAAACAATGGCTGCGGTTTTCACTGTTCTGTCCTTGACTGGACGGCTTGAAAAGCTTCGTGTGTTGTGGTCAGCTTCTGCGGAAGGATGAACTGGTTTTTGTTGGGGGAAGGAAGGTGAGAAAAATGCATTTCTTTTCATGTTGTGCACGTGGGCAAGAGGGCAGTTTCTGTTGCTATGTTGGTCTCTATCCCAGCTGCAGCACGGCAGCAACACCCGTGCACAGGACAGTGCTACTGGCACGGGCTTTTGAGCGAGGAAGGAATGCCCAGAGCTGTTGGCTTGTGTGTTTGTTTCCCTTTTGTCCCTCCCCAGAGCTGTGTGCATCCCGCCGAGCTTTGCAGACTGGGCAGCACAACAGAAAGCATCCTCGTTTCTTTGGGTTTGCATAACGCTAAAGAACTTTCTCATCCAACATCTTGATACAAAGTTCTCGGTGTCTCTTCTTACATTAAACTGAAAGAGACGGTACTTAATCGAGATGGGAGCAATCTGTACTTCAGAAAATCTGGTGTTCTTAAAACTGTCACTCCACAAAATTCTGAGTTCAATCACCCTACTAAAAAGATGAAGTTTGGTTCAAATCATATCAGGTGTTGAAGAAATACTCATAAAGGCTAAAAATATTTTATACGCAGTCGAACACAAACATAAGCACTTAACCAATGTCCTTGATAGATTGTTTGTTTAACCATTCAGTTATGTGGCTGTTTTTTATGAAGGCACTTTAGCTAACTCATTCATTTTAAACAGGTGTATTTTACAGTTAGAAAAATCTACAAATCTGTGCCGCTTCAAGCACTTTGCTATATCTCAGATTAACTGTAGTGCATTTTCCAGAAATGTCATCAGTTTCCTCAAAAAAAACACCATACCAGAACATATTTACTTAAAAAGTAATGCATTTATTTATTGTTGAACAGTTAATCTAGCACCTCAGCGAAGTTGTTCTTATTTAGGCATATATGCACCCAAGATCAGAAGTAGAATTGGCTTTTAGAATGTGACCATGAAACAAGTTTATTCTCCTCCAGGTACAAATTTAACAGAAATCAAAACTCTAATGTCACCAGTGAGGACGAGGGGTCACGTGTTGCCTACACTGCAGCTGAAGGTAAAAGGCCATTTTCAGTTGCTGAACCTTCCTGTTTGTGGTGGTCTGATCAGTTTTACTTTGAAGAAATACGTATTAAAAAACCACCTTTTTTACTCAGCACTTGTTCTTTAAGGAAAGAAGCAGTAAAGAGTTTCCTGAATGTCTCCCCCCACCATTTCTTACTTATTTGTCAAAGTCAAAAAAACCTCAACAGAACAAAGTTCTGTCCTTCTGAAGTACCGAAGTGTTTCACCTTTCAGAGTGAAAATGTAACTGCAGCTGGAAACCATGAGACCAAAAGAGTTATCAAGAGCAAGACCAACGCTCCATCCCTGAGAAGGCAGTTCATGGTGTACGGCCTTGGCTTTGCTCCACATCCCCGAGATCGAAACCACTCAACTACTTCATTTAGGTTAAACTGCTGAGGCTTGTACCCCAGCTCCTTCCTGGCCTTCTCCATGCTAAAATAGTGCGTGACACCAGTTTTGTAAACTTCTGTACGAGTAAGGAGAGGTTGAAAATTATAAACATGACCTATAAGAAAATGAGCTGCTTCAGTGAGGAATGCAAAAAAATAGACAAGGGAGAGAGGAAGACGAAGAGTCGGGAACTTGTAACCCAAGCCTTCTACTAAAGGCCGGAAAAATTCAAAGTTATTTACTGGCCTGCCATCTGAAATAAAATAGGCTTGGCCTGCAGCTATGTGTCCTTTGTTGGCTTTGAGGGCTTCCGATGCAAGGATATGAGCCTGAACCAGATTATCTACATGTACGAATTCTACTAAACTGAGAGGATCTCCATATACAAATTTAAACAGACCCCTTTCGATGTAACTAACTATTCTTGGAAGGTGTCTTTGCTCTCCAGGCCCATAGATGCCCGCTGGTCGGAGAGCACAAGTCCTTAACACACCTTTCCCATTTCTGAGCTCAGCACCATTTGCCTCCAGCACCTTCATTTCAGCTAAAGCTTTGGTCCGGGAGTAGTGATCTGGATGAAGATGGAGAGGGAGGTAAGGCAGAGACTCGTTCCCATTTTCTATAATCTGGCCCCCAAATATCACATTGTATGTACTTGTATAAACCAGACTTGACACTCCCGAGGTCTTGCAGGCCTGGATGACATTTTCCGTGCCTTTCACGTTAACATCTTCTATGAGTTTTCGGTTCAGCTGCTCCCTGCCAGACATCCCATAGGAAGCGATATGGAAGACGCAGATTACATCTCTGAGAGCCTCTTCCACTTCAGAGAGACGACGGACATCGCCCTGCACGAACCTGACTCCCTCCGGCACCGCCTGAGTCGGCTTCACGACATCAAACAGAATCACATCAACTCCCTTCTCGTACATGGCACAACCTAAACTAAAGCGTGATAGAAACCATGTGTTAGTATACATAGTATAACAGTGCATTAAACATTTCATGTGGAGGTAAGAAAAGCCTATTAACTATTTTAGTACCAATGCTTTTTATGATTTTTTTTTAAAAAAATATTTAAATATCTACTTATTGGGGAGGTTCAACTGTGAAACCTCAGGCACTGAACTAAATCCTTCAGGCTCCAACTATGTGTGCAGGGGGCAATTCGGAGGAAAAACAAAGTATTTTCGGCTGTCTTTTGCCCATCTACCCCTCTGTTTCCTACAAATCAGCGCTAGCAAACTGTTTAGGTTCAAGTCCATTGCCTTATATATATTCATATTTTACTGCTTTTTGTGCCATTCCAAATCTGATTGCACATTAGGTTGGTCTTCACTGCCCTGCCTGAACTTTTTGTAGAGGATTAAGGGAGCTGTTCCTAAGTCCACTGGAATGACTATATTGTCATATGCCCCAATTCTACTCTTAAGTCAACAATATGAACGCAGGTATTTATGCAACAGATAGACCTGATGATCCACCCCTTCTCTCCTAGAACTGCTGCATTCCATAGGGCTTGAAGGGCGTCGGCAGGGAAATTAACCTAGTGGTAATCAGCCAGATTTCTTTCTTTTTTTTTTTCTGCTTCTGGTGATGACTCTTGGTGCCCTAAGACAGAAAACAACAAACTAGATCAAGGCGCCTCTTGCTACATATATTATGCGTGCACGCACTAACCGGAAGCCAAAGTAACCGCCTCCTCCCGTGATCAGAACCGTCCCCGTGGCCATCCTTGCTGCTCCGTCCTCTTCCCTCTGGCCCCGCCTGGGGAAACGCGGTGAAAACGCACGACAGAAGCGGCCGTTTTCGCTAACGCGGCCGCGTTGCGGAGCGGGGACCGCCCTG